GGTGTTCCCAGAGGCTGGGCCCCTCTTCGTGCAGTGTTTGGCATTTGCACCTTGTCGTGAAAGGCATTCACACTGAAAGGCTGGTTCTGCAGGCTCAGGGCAGAGCCCGAATTTATCCACCCAAGACACACACGTGAACCAGACACGTTTATGTTTGTAACGCATCTGCCTCACACGTACACATCTGTATCAACACGGAGATGCCCGATACCTACACGCTTCTTCACGTGTACGTGTGCTTATAGACAAACGCTGGAGAGCAGCCGTACCTGCTGCTTCTAACCCAGACGTGGCAGGCAGGGGAGGGGTAAGAGGGGAATTACCCCGGGGGGGGCGGAGGGAGGAAGAATCCCAGAGCAGGCAGAGGGAACACCTGACGCGCCTCCACTGAAATGCGTGAGTGCCATAAATTGTGCAGGTGTTAGGCACACAGCTCACCTCATAACTCTGCGGCAGGTCATGCCTGCAGCCTTCCTGAGAGGCTCGGGGGGAGCCCCAGGGGACAACCCGAATCCAGCCCTCTTCAGCAGTTTAAGTGACCCCTTGCCACGGTGGCTCTGCCCCCACTCCTCTGCAGCCACGCCTGCCTGCAGCCCATTTGGAGCAGCGCCCACCTCTTGCTGCACACGCTGCACCACGGAGCTCCGATTTCTCTCCAAGCCACCAGGCTCCTCCTAGGACGAGAATGAGTAACTGACACTGCAGTGCCGGGACACGACAGCGTTATTTATCCTCTGCTCTTTGTTCAGAGCTTTGTCGCAGCTCTTGTCCTGTTTGCTGCTCCGCTCCTTCCCAAAGGTCCTAGCTGCTGGAGCGGTATTTTGAAGCAGAAGCTTCAGGTGGAGTTTTAACATTCTCTGTGAAGTGTGCTTACAGATCTTAGGCCTGCCACACGAACGATCTCCCCTGACTCTGAGCCAGGAGGCACGCAGCAAGAACCTCCAAGTACTATTTTGCAGAGCAGATCCGTGCTAAGGCAGGCTCCTGCTATTGCAGGCCCGACTAAGGCTTTTTGAGCACCCCAAGGCTGAGAGGACTGAAGCTAGCATGCCACAAGTGTGTAGTTCAGTAAATTAAACTGAGTGGTTGGAGGCAGATCGGAAGCCCGCTACCGCCACCAGGCTCCTCCTAGGACGAGAATGAGTAACTGACACTGCAGTGCCGGGACACGACAGCGTTATTTATCCTCTGCTCTTTGTTCAGAGCTTTGTCGCAGCTCTTGTCCTGTTTGCTGCTCCGCTCCTTCCCAAAGGTCCTAGCTGCTGGAGCGGTATTTTGAAGCAGAAGCTTCAGGTGGAGTTTTAACATTCTCTGTGAAGTGTGCTTACAGATCTTAGGCCTGCCACACGAACGATCTCCCCTGACTCTGAGCCAGGAGGCACGCAGCAAGAACCTCCAAGTACTATTTTGCAGAGCAGATCCGTGCTAAGGCAGGCTCCTGCTATTGCAGGCCCGACTAAGGCTTTTTGAGCACCCCAAGGCTGAGAGGACTGAAGCTAGCATGCCACAAGTGTGTAGTTCAGTAAATTAAACTGAGTGGTTGGAGGCAGATCGGAAGCCCGCTACAGTTTATGGAAGGATTTGCTGTGATCCCACTGAGTTTAGGTCTGGTCCGTCATTTTAAAACTCAGTTACACTCACGGCTTTCAAGCTTCCTGTGTTGGCAGACCCCTAAGTTGCTCTCGTGAGGACGCAACTTGTTTGTAACTCACTTCAGCTTCCTGCAACAGGCTTGCTCTGCTCAGCTATCATCCCTCAAGCCTTTAGAAGCAGTCCACAGACCCCAACAACCCACAGGTTCAGGCTGACAATGCGGAAGCTAGTCCTGAGGGCAGTGGGAGAGCTGTCCTACCTGCTGTCCTGTCCCCGTCCCCCACCCTGCCATCAGCAAGATATACTTGGGCCAGCTCCATCCAGTGGCTGGCATCAGAAAAGCAGAGTTTTGTTTTCTTGTCCTGCTATGCCACTCTGAGGAAATAAACTCCTGTTGCAGGATGCGGCCTGTCTGTAATCCACGTTAAATAGCTGGCAACAAGGATACCAGCATAAGCAAGGGCAATGGCAGGTCGTTACCTGTTAGTTCTGGAGGAAGCACGACAAAAAAAAAAAAAAAAAACCCGAACTGTTGCTGAAACAGCAGAGCTTAATAAACCAGGTTTCTTTAAAGACCTGTCTTTCAAGTGTCCGTGGAGAGTTGTTGGTATCTAACGAACTCGCAACGCAACCGTTCCCGCCACAGGTCATGACCAGCGACTGTCCTTTCCGCTCTCTTACCAAACAGGACTGACTGCCTTTGAGGTTTCTCTCATTCGTATGTGCATATTTCCTCTGATCTGTTTATAATTTTAATACACCTTGCTTCTTTTTAGGCCTGTCTTGGTTCTTTCTCTCTTTTTTTTACAGTGTTCCGCATCTTGTGACTTCTTTTCTTTCACCGAGGTCCTGCTGGGTATCACCCCTGCCCAGGGTGGGTTCTCGTGGGAAATGCGCTCCGGCCGGCACGAGACGTGCCTCCCCTCGCTTCCCGCGCCCCGGATTTCAGTTTAGGGCAGGGAAAACCAAGCACAAAGCGCCAACAGAGCAGGTCGCAGCCACCCAAATAACCGGCGAGCGCTACCCTAGCGCACGGGCAGGGAGGGTCCGGTCGGTCAGGGCGCAAGGCCGACGAGTGACCGGCTGGGCCCACAGGTTTTTGTCAGGGCTCGGTGGAAGGGGATGAGCGGGCCGGAGAAGCACTCGGGGCCCGGGCGCGGGCCAGCCTCCCGCCGCCTCCCCCG